ATTTAACTATTTTGGAGGTCAAGGAATTTTTGGAGGTTGATTGGCACCCAAATAAAAAAATATAAAATATGCCCCCCCCCCCCCCCGCTCCCATGTGAAAAGATTCCCTATGGGTGACCCTGATCTTCCTATTCCAAGTCAAGAACTACTAATACAATGTCAATTTTGTTCTCTTTGTAACTGTCATAGAATCTTACCTGCCGAGGACTGCAGAGACACATTTCTCTAGGGAACCACTTCTGGAATGCAGAGATACCGTCCACTGGGCATTTCGGATTTCCCATTTCACCATATCGTCCATGACAACATCGATCTGCTGAACAAGGAAAAATCATTGAAACATGCCCAACTGTCCTGTGTTCACAGTAATGGAACAAAATGCATTTATTTCAAGACAACTCACCTGGGGTAAGAATTTAAAAATCCATGCAACTTTAGAACAAGGCAAAAGATTCAACGGAAACATCTCACGCTCACATTCAGCAGGGCGACGTGTTAACAAAGTTAACAACAGAAATTTCCCACCAAAATGGACACGTGACTAAAGATCGAGAGATCAAAGTGCACCCAATGAAAAACAAGGCTCGTCAACCGATATATTCTATTTATAGCACCAATTGACCTAACAGTGAATAACGTTCACCAGGGGCCTGCAGGCATGTTCACGAAGCTATCTTAGGACAACGTCGAGATACATCTTATGATATGTCTTAAGTTGATCTTAGGATGTTCCTAACTTTCTTCCTAAGGAATAATCTTAGAAGGGATCTTTAACAATCAAACAATTTATAAAACAAACATTTTGAATTATATTTTACATGCGTTCTAAATAAAAATGAGGTATCTGGTGAGATGAACAAAAAATTAAAAATATTAATTCAGCACGACGAAACAACTCATAATTTCAATATAAAACTTTTCACTTTTCAGAAAACTAAAAATTTAGTGAACATGCTTACGGCCTTGCTTGCATGTTCACGAAGCTATCTTAGGACTACGGTGTGTCCTAAGAACGTCTTAGGAAATGTCCTAGTCTTAAGTCAGTTTATCGAGGCTTTTCTAAATTTAAGAACGTTCCTAAGTTTTTCCTAACTTTAGGACAACAAAATACCTGTCCTAAGATCATTCTATGTTTGTTTTGATGCTTGTGATTTGCAAGTAGTAGCGACAATTTCTTGTTTCTCAGCAGTCCTTGTATGAGCTGATGATTTACACACATAATTTAACCAGAACTGTTACCCATAGGCCTCTTTTCATAAATGCTATAAATTTCGCATGTGCTGTTCCGGATATTACCTAATACAAATTTTGGATATTATTATTTATAATGAATATTTTCGGTATTGGTTGGAGAAATATAATTCAACGCTCCTCGGGTGATGAAGTGTGAAGGGGGGGGGGGGGGCAAAAACCCTTTTATTATCAGTCGATCTGCTCATTGCGTATCCAATACAAAGTAAATGAAGACAAACAAGGTTATTATAATGAGGGTTTTCTCAGGTAAGTTGATTTTTTTTCTGCCCCCCCCCCTCCCCCCATTTCATGACCGATGTTATGTCACTGTCAAAGACATTCATCACATGCGTTGTATAATGACCGCCACCCCACCCTTTCTTATGTTTAAAATGTCATAATACATTGTATGAATATAGGAACAAATACCCCCTCTTTCATATGCTAATGATTGGTCTATAGATACAGATACAGTACAACTCAGGCGCGGATCCAGGAATTGAAGTTAGAGGGGGCGCCAAAAGTAGGCAAGGGGTCTGGGGGCCGCCTTGAGGCCCCCAGTGGATCAAGGGCAAAGCCCTGGTGGGGCCCAGGGGGCGAAGCCCCCGAAAGCTCTGGGGTTCTAGAGATTTTGTAGAGTAAAAATGAGGTCTACCAAGTAGACATATTAACATTTTCTAGACGAAACTGTGATTTACGTTAACTTAGACAATTTTATGGGGGCGCCCCCCTTAAATCCGCCACTGCAACTTATGATCATGCTAACATGACTTTTTCGTCATTAATCAAAACTTCCATCATAGATTAATACCAATAAACTTGCCTTCCGAAAATAAGGAGGAGCCAGCCCTCCACCCTCTCCTCTCGATCTGCTAGCATACTACGTGATATTATGAGACACTGAAACTATTGATTTTAACTATTTTGAATCCGCTTATTTATCAAAAAGTGAAGTAAACTTTTATAAAACTTCATCAGGGTAGATCACTGAGAGGTTATGATTTTTTAACCATTAATCTTAACTACAATTTGTTTGTTTCAATACGATTTACAAGCGGTATTAAATATTTTATAATATAAAAAAAAAATACAAACATCAACATATACTGAGGTCACATGATGGACATGTAAATGGATTTCCTTTTTTAATGCCACATGTATGTATTTTCTTTCCCGTAAGAGTCTCCAAATTTATATATTTATCGATAAATGTTAAAGAAACAAAATTAATGTTCATTGTAAGTTAGGATGTCCTAACTTAAGATGTTTCTAAGTCACCTTCGAAATACATCTTATGATATGTCCTAAGTTGATCTTAGGATGTTCCTAAGTTTTTTCCTAAGTCATATCTTAGGAATGTTCTTAGGAAAGTTTCATGAACATGCTTGCTGGATATTAGATCACAACTCGAGTAAAATTCAGTGAAATTGAATGATGTGTTCACTAGGTGGGCCTCTCATCTACTCATGAAGCCATGTAAATACGTACCTTAAATTCGATCAAAGACAGCTTTTTTGTTTGTTGTTTAACGTCCCTTTCGAAAATTTATTCACTCACATGGAGACGCCAAGACACCTCCAAAACACTCTTAATTAAATTTTATTATCGAATTGTTTCAAGGGTGAAGAATTCCAATTAGCTGAAAGTATAAGATTGTTTAAGAAGAGCTAATGCCCTGTAATCATATCTGGACGTCATTTTTTTCCAACAAATGCTTGAAAATCACAGAAGAACAATGTCGGCCGTTCTGATAAAAACTGATTTTGATGAAATTGTATATTATAAAATTTAGTTAACAATAAAAAAAATATTTGAATCATCTTATTTAAAAAATCTTTTCAGTCGGCGCGATTTAATTGGATCGGTCGCGTTAGGGGAAACAAAGTTTGTTTTTTTTTATTTTGGCCCTATTTAAATCTCATAATTAAACAAGATTAATATAAACAATATTTCTTGACATCGTTTCATGTACATGTATTTTTTTATCCTGAAGCCGTTAAAAGCATTTCAAACTTTACTAATAGTAATACATGTAATACATCCCGATTGTAACTGTGACATATTGCATCGCCATTTTTTTTGAAAAATCATGTATGCATAAAGTAAATGTTAAATAGAATATATATTGGAATAAAATAATCATATCCGATCTTCCAGTAAATCTCGGCCAGGATTATCAAATAATTTAGTCTTTATTCCAGTAATCCAGTAATGAAATTTCATCATGATGACAGATTTAGGCATGTGGTACGCGACTTGACCCTAGTTTCAAAACTGTGTTTTTGAGTTCTCTCTCTCTCTCTCTCTCTCTCTCTCTCTCTCTCTCTCTCTCTCTCTCTCTATATATATATATACGAATTAAATTATCACCAAAAATTATATTTATATATTTACTTAAAGAAATATATTAAAAATCACAACTAATAATTTCGAGTGGATTTTAAGATTCTTGGGCTTCTTATAGTTAAAGAGATAACATATATTAATCTATATATATAATATATAAAATCCACTAGCACAATGCACACTACTGAAACTAGAGGTACTGTGAGCAATGAGCTCACTAAATGATACCCCCGCCTCCCATATGAATAAAATGGCAGTGTGCATGTTTTGCTCTAGAAAATCCAAAATATATGTCAGATCAAAAAGTAAAATAGGAGGTGCACAATGACAATATGTAATAAACATTCTGTGAAAGTTTCATCAAATTTCATTCAGTGGTATGAGAGGAGTTGCGGATAAGAGATGGGTACCCCAAAGCGTAACAGACGGACGGACAGACGTACAGACGGACGGAATTAACGATTACTATATACCCTCCCGCTTTTCAAGCGGGGGGTATAATAAAGTTCAGTAATCTGAAAGAGAAAAAGAACCCTGTAAAAATTGACAAGCAAATAAGGGGGATAGTGTCCAATTGTCCAAACGCGAAGATCCTGTTTCGTGGGAAGGTGGGTTAAGAACTTCTATAAATACCATTTTTGCAAACCTTACCACTTACCTTTCTTTGACTATACTGCAACCTGTCCCTGTTGAAAGGGAGACTAACCTACGCCACAATGTTCAATGTCAATATTATGTCTATCTTTGCAAAAAAGATATGAGGGGGTAACCAACACCCCCCCCCCCCTCAACCCCCGTTCAGGCTGAGGCGCCTATTTGCATTGTAACAGTTATTTTGGGATAATTTAGGTGAATTAATTGCTGAAATCTCGATGTTACATTATCTTTAGAATTCAGAGAATTAACAATTTGGCTAAGGAAAGGTATAAGCATTCCTGTTTATATATCATTTTTCATGTGTAGAAAAAATAGATAGCAATATATTGAAGGATTGGAGGACCAAGTTGATTCAGGTGAGTGTTGTGGTCCCTGGGCCTGCTGTTGAGTTTTTACTTCTCATTATATTGTTTCATAATATTATAAGATGTTTTGATTGTAGTATCAAAGATCAAAGCCCTATCGAAATTTCAGATTGCATATCCCAACATGTAACCTTGATAGGCCTCTAATGTATCATTTGATTGATAGCCAATCAGATTGACCGAATGTTACACGACCGGGACAAATTGTTCTTGTTGACTCCTTAGTTGAGAGAAAATGATTCCCTGCTTTTATTGTTATTAGATAATTTCATCAATACTTTTTCATCGCTCCACAAATTTATTGAGAATTATTCATAATTTTAAAATTTTAAAGGAAACTTTGTGTAAATTTTAAACATATAAATTGATTTAGGGAAATCTGGAATAAATCTTCCTACGTACAGATCAACCATTCTCTCAACCAATCGGAGATCGTGTTTGAAAGCTCGGTAGCCATATTTACAATGGTGGACAACCGAACTATTTGAAATACCATTGTGTGTGTTTGTTCATTTATACCTCCGTAATGAACGTAAGTCAATACATCTAACCATTATAATAGAATCCTATACATCCCAATGAAGTCGTCAAAAATATAGATAACCTCATCGGAAGTTAAATTAGCGAGAGTTTTTGTGGTTTATTTGGCGGAATTTGGGTTCCAAAATTAATGGCTTCGTGCCTCCAAAAATGAAAATATTCTTTAAAATTTTACAATAATCATGCTGCAGGTCATTTAGAAGCATTCTTTTTAATTTGTTTATAATTAATATTACTATTTACTATCAGTCCGATAGCTGAAAACTGGCCATTTTCCATGCAATTTGTAAAAAATCATCATAAATTTGAGACCCGCCATTATGACCGCAATTTGCGAAGTCGCCATTTTATAAACATAGCGCTTGATCTTTCAAGATAGAGTCGATGTGTTCTTAAAATTTATTGTAAACGTACTATAAACTATTTGTCTGTTATAAAATGTAAAATATTCACACAACCATTTAGGATATTGAAGGAAATAAAAACAGACGCCATTAATCCTTTTTGTCGGCTTTGGTGACTAAAACATCTTTGTTTACAAATAATATTGACCATTCATCAAAATAAAGACGGAAGTCATGAGCTTTTAATGAAAGCTTTGACCATTAAATGTCTTTTACATTTCAGGTAGAATTAAACGATGGTGTTATCATGATGGGGTAAAAATCCACTTGAATTTAAAACACAAAAATACAGACATGTTAGTGTTTGACTAAAGAACGACACAACATCAGTCTACATTGTGTGCAGACATTGCAGAAAAGGTTATTCATGTCAAAGAAAAATGTAGCCAGTATAATAATTAACTAAGCAATTCTTTAATCGACATGGTTAAAGACAGTGAGAAAGAAAGACTCTCAGATCCCACCTATGCAAAGTGGTTGTTAGACGCCATCAACAAAGTGAAACATCAAAAGCAGCGACCAAACTTTACTAGAATATGTAATGCTGTTCGACAGTTTCACCAAGTAAGCGAGGATTCCATTGCTGAACAGCTTGAACTCACAGTCAAAGATGGAATCATCTTGAAACTTGCCAGCAAGGACGGAATTTGGACATATCGCGATCCTTCGGGGACAACACCATGCAAGAGTAGGAATCTGAAAGTCACTTGCAATATGGATCTAACAAAGATCATCGTGAAAACAATCAAAGAGCTGGCAGATCCACAGGGTGCGAATCTGAAAAAGATCAAGAGTTACATTATCTCAACATATAACTTGGACTTGGAGGAGGGGGTAGAGTTAGGAGAGCAGCTGAAAGTGTCTCTAAAGAAAGGCTTGGCCAGTGGACAGCTCCAGAGAGAGGGGCATTATATCAAAGTGGGGGAGAAAGGTCTGGATGAGTCCACGGCCAGCTCAAGTAACTCAGGATCGTACGACGAAGATTCAGCCAGCGACTTGTCATTCTGCTTTGAACAGAAAACAGTATGTCATTTTCTTATAGTTCAGCATGAATATGTTTTTAATAAATATCTGCATGCTTACAGAAAAACAAAATTTCATCAATATTTTATGAAGATAAAAAATCATTTGGAATGCAAAACTTTAAAATGAGGGGTTTCAAAATCAATTTGAAAAGATTACAATTTTCAATATGTTTTAGAAATAGTTATTTCTTTCCCCTGCTTTTTAAAAATTCTCCAGTCTTCCGATGGTGTTTCTGTGATAGACAAAAAATAAAAAATATTGAATATGTCACAACAATTGCAATGATAGTTAAGTGCCAAATTCATGCTATAAAAGTAGAGGTATAAATTATTATTGCCTTTCACACCTACCAAAAACAACTCTTTTTGTGAAAAACAAGTGAACCTGATTCATGATTCAATGTGATTGTCATTTTATATCAGTTGAATAGGAAGGTTGTTTTTAATTTTTGAGAGCCTTTGTTTTATGTTTGAAAAAAAATTCTTTGAATTAAAAATTATATAATAGTAAAGGAAGAAAATGAGGACTACACCAGAAATTATAATAAAAAAATTAAATGATTAGAAATAAGAATAATATAAAACTAGCACTGGCTGTACTTTAGATTATAGATAAGGATTTCAGAGTCAAAATATGTGTATCAATATGGTGTCAGATTCTCTGGATCTGTCTGTAGGTGATAATTTATAAAACGATAATGTATTATCTTTTGAGGTCTAAGGATGTTTGATAATTGCCTATTTACCTTTCCTGTCAGAGAAAGCAAATGGTGTGGTAATCAATAAATCTTGATAAACACGTCTCAGCTACAGTTGTATGATCTAGTAATTGATTTTTTTCTCTCTCTCACACAAAAGGTAGATTTGCCATTGTGCAGTCATTGCACCAAGCACTGTACACTTCTAGGCTTGTACATTAAGCTTGTGTATAATAGCAATACTGTTGAAACATATTGTTGATGGTTCAGTCAGAAAAAAACAAGAGCAACGATTTGAATTGTGATTCTGGAACTATTTGACTTGTCTCTAGGTTAAATTGTCCAATGACAGCCTATTGATTTCTGCCCACCAGCTTATTTAAACTGTTACTTTAACGGATACTGATCTAAAGAAAAACCGATTGAGTTAAAAATGTTTTTAAGGCAGAAAATAAGCTGATATAATTTACATGATTTTGTCAATCAGAATATATATTAAAATCATTTTAGCAAATCTTGATCTTTGATTTTGAATGAGTTGTGTTTCTGGATACATGTTGCTGTAATACTGTATGAATATTCCGAAGGGCTATCACTACCAGTCAGTTTGCAGCTACATTTGAACTTTGTTATCTCAATCTTTGATATCTTGAATAGCATGGATATGTCAAATTGAGTTAAACTTAAAATATCAATCTTTCCAGCCTGATTAGCTTAAAGATGATGTTAAACTGTATAAACAATTTCTCTTGATTAAACAACAAAGGTTTGATATCTTCCACAATTTCAAATGGAAAATGCAGTGTTCATCATTAATCCATAATCATACTCTCAAGTATTAAGGTTTATTATTATGTATTCCTATATTTCAGAAATGTGCCAAACCGATTCTAATCTGCTGTTTTTGTCTTGGTGACGAACACAAGAACAGGGAGGGTGTACCAGAAGATCTGATCTCGTGTGCAGAGTGTGGCAACAGTGGTACGTGGTTGTGGCTCTATACACTTATTTTGTGGCTAATAGTGCATTGTGGCTAAGAATAGCTATAACTAATTTGCTACCTCTGTATTTTAGGTCACCCTTCATGTCTTAAGTTTTCTCCAGAACTGACTGAAACAGTTCAAAAGCTGCGATGGCAATGTATCGATTGTAAAACCTGCTCCTTTTGCCAGAAATCTGGGAGAGAGGTAAGGATTTAGAAGATGAAATTGTGAAGTTAACTTTTTCGGACTTTGAGAGTATTTGTGAAACATGATGCTTTTTCTTAAGTTACTGCATTGTATTTGTACTTATTTTAGCTAAACTCCTCGTGTTTTGGCATTTCATAGTCAATCCTTTTTGTGCTAATATTAATGCCAAATCACAAATACCACCAAATATTATAGTCAGTATCATGTGAAACTGTATTTCTTGTGGCAAAGACTCATGTTAGTGCCAGACAATTTTGAGACACAAACTCAATTTCCAATGTGTTAAAATTAGTACAGTACATAGATATGTGAAAGACTCCAAAGTGTGATGGTGACGCCAAAGTCTGATGGTCTGGTCAAATCCCGACAGTCTGCGATAAACCCCGATGGTTTGTTGTCGGTACGGACGCCAAAGTACGATGGTTATGCCAAAATCCGATGGCTCGTTTCCTATGAGACGCGCAGCGCCAAAGTGCGATGGTGCGAAGAAACAACACTTATGATGTCACAATAATCCGGTGTCAATGATTGTAAATCATTGACGCCGGTGTCCTGCATTCAAAAGCCATCAATTCAGTATTCGTCCTCCCATACACTTTCGTTGATTTTGCTAATTACCTGCACATTACAGAAATATTAAGATTAGTTCCCTCACGCCACTCTATTGATTAGGGTTAGTCCTTGCTTAGCACCAACCCGAGAGATTTAGATTTGGTCCTCACACACTAGTAGAGTGAATACTGTTAGTCTTGCACCCGACCAAAAAATCTAGGTTACTATCATACTTGTTATACACTTCTAGAGCGATTGGGGTTAGTTCCGCACTTATCCAAGAGGTTAGGGTTAGATTTCACATAATGATACCCCGGTATTTATGTATACTTAGTTAAGATCTTGGCATGATGCTGCATTGCAGTTTTGCGCAGTACTACTATGACGTCATAAACGTTATAATTGTTTTCCGCACCATCGGAGTTAAGCATTTCAAACCATCGGTTTTTGGCGCAGACCATTTGACTTTGGCATCACCATCTGACTTTGGAGTCCCATCGCACTTTGGAGTTCTACATATACAGTCTGACAGTATCTATTTTATTCATGCTACAATAAAGATTTAAAAGAAAAAAATGTTATTACCGGCATGTTAGAGTTAAATATTGAATATACTAATCTATGATATTGTTTGTGTTTGTAGGATAACATGTTGTTTTGTGACCTCTGTGACAGGGGATTCCACATGGAGTGTTGTGACCCACCTCTTACTAAAGCTCCAAAAGGTAGGAACTAAGGAAGTACTAGATACGCTGGGAAGGATTTACTGCAAAATAATTATTGGTCATATTATCTTTTATTCACAATTAGTTTTTTCAGTATTAATCAAAGCTTGAAGATCAATTTTCACGATTGAAAAAAAACATTCTGTACAAATAGAAATCAAAATAAATGGGTTGTGGAGATTATAATTTTCGCAAGTTATAGTAGGTTGTGGAATGTGTAGATATTTCTCACACGCAAAAAAAGTTGGTTTACAGTATGAGGAGAGGGGGGGTAAGAAATACACTGTGAAATAAGCTTAGTCATATACCTATAGGTTTACAAGTAATGTTTATAAGGTAAAACCTGTGATTGTTACCCATTAATGGCATGGTTTGAAACAATATTTATCAGGACAAAAGGTAAACAGTTCCTTATTTATATGTATCAAGCTTGTTTAAAATCAAATGTGGAATTTTTCCAGGTAAATGGAAGTGCAATATCTGTGACCCTGACCGAGGGAATGGAAAGGGCAGACATTTCTTAGAGATGGCAGCAAAACTGGCAAAGAAACCCAAACCAAGCAAAACTAGCCACAAAGAAAAAAGTGATATAGCCAAGTAAGATTTTAAAAGCCAAATATTAAGAATTCTCTCTTTTGTGTGTAACAAAATTTTTAATACATGACGGGGCTGCAAGCATAAGTGCAATGGTGTATGATGTGGATAAAAAAGAGAAGATGTCACACTGACAAATATTATAATGAAACCAACATTCTGTGGATAAAATATTGATATTTAAGACTTGATCCCAGAAAGAAAATAACAAGAATCTCTTTCTTGATTACTTTTCCTTTGAATTTCCTTGTCTAACCTTTTTTAAACAATTTGTTGAATGCATTAAGGTTTTTTTGGCATAACTGAAAATGACAAACAATTTCATTTCTTAGGAATTTCCATGTAAACTTGATTTTGTTTGTTACGTAAATGCTGAGAATTGATAAAAAAAATATGAATTAACATATATTCTGACTATAAATAAAATTGACTTACTTACTTTAAGATGTCCAACTCCTGGGTGTGATGGGACAGGCAATGTAAATGGCAAATCAGCATACCACAGAACGTAAGATTCTATCTTTTTATTTGTGTTTTTATGTGTATATGGGCTTGCATAGGTCTATTTTTGATGTTAACTGTGGTCTTAGAAAGTCATTATAACAGGTTGCTTCAAAGACATTATATAAAGCTATGTTGGACCATTTTGATCAATGACTGGACACAAACCATGGAGATTATTTAGAGTGATGGGGAAAGACCCTTCTTATCATTGTACTGATTGATAAAATATACAGGCTACTGGGGCTATGTTGTATACCCCTACCTCTCAATGAAACATCTCAAGAATGATACATGTAGATATACAACTAAGACTATTTTCGATTATTTGTTAAAATTTGAAGGAAAAAAAAGAATTGGGATTGTTAGATTTGGAGAACATTTGGATCATTTGATTTGGTGCTTTTTTTTCAGACAACTTGCATGTCCCAAGTTAACAGCGCAGCAAAGAAGAATTTGCAGAATAAAGAGAAAATACAACAGCAATAAAAATGGGGATGTGTCCGAGTCCGATGAAGAGACTGGTAATGTTGACAAGTCTAAAAGCAGGCGAACTAACGAGCACCCCTCCTCCTCTACTGTTGGGTCCCGTGATTCTTCAGACGAGGATGTGAGCCACACCTTTGAGCCTTTTTTCAACATTGACAAGCCTAAAGGTTTAGTCGATGGTCTCTCAAAATTTTTCACCCCAACAAACAAACGCACCTCTCGCGTTTCTCTCAATTCCTACAATGCAGATTTGGCAGCCATTCCTAAACATAAAAAGAGTGATCAGACCAAAAGTAACTCTCAACAGGCGGCGAGTCGTCTGATAAAAAGATCCAAATACCTACAGGCCAATAAAGCTCGCAAAAAGTGTGTAGAACCAAAGGGTAGTGGGCAGTTAAAGGGCTTGTTTGATGGCTTGTCCCATTTTTACACAGCTCGGGGTGATAGAACCAAGCCCAATGAACATTTAGACAATAGCAAAAAAAATTCTAAATATGACTTTATTCCAGTTATTGATGAATCAATGTTTACTTCTGTGAAGGACAAATCAGTAGAAAGTGATGATTCCTCAGTTTCATCATCATCATCATCTGGAGGTTCATCATCCCCTTCAGATGATGAACAAGAAAAATCTTTTGATGCCCCGTCCAAATCCAGATCTAATGGTCTTTTGACTGGAAAACATCAGGGGATCATAAAGAGGAGGGGTGCAGGGAGAGAAAATAAACAACTGTTTGAAAGACAATTTGGGTTGGGACGGGGGATTAAAAGGGGATTTGGAAGGGGACCAGGCAGGCCACCTTGGAAGCATTTAATTGGATCAGTGTATAAAGGGAGGGAAAGGATTATTGACAAAAACAGTTTGAAAAATCTTAGTGATAAGTTAAGCAGAGGAAGTGGCTTGAAAAGGGGGAGGGGCAAAAGTCATAGTGGAAGTGTAAGTGAGAGAACAGGATCAATCAAGAATTTCTTCACTCCAAAATCTGCCTCCACACCATCCCCACGAGGAAGAGGGCGGGGAGCCGTGTCGCATAAAAAATCCCTGGCTGGCAAGTCGCCCCACACAACGCCCCGCGGCAGAGGACGTGGTTCAGCGGCTGGAAAGCGCCCATCCAGTGTCAGTTCACCCTCATCGGGTAAGCCAGACTGGGTCAACTTTCCTCATTGGTAGATGCATTCTCCTGTTATTGTTTCAGGAGGCATTGTAAATTCGCCTGTGTAGTGTAGCAAGCAGAAGGGAGTGCTTTTGTGCTCAAGTTGTTGACTGGTATCCTAATACTTTTCAGATCATCTTAGTATGTATTCATGTAAATGCATGCATTCATTACCATTTTGACTCTCTCCCTAACCCTTCATTTCAGCATGGATAAGCCGATATCAGAAGCTTGATCTTTTATCATCTGTCTAAAATAGTCTTTTCACTTTAAAAAATGGGTTCAAAGGTGTTGCTCATGCATTCGTCATGAAGATCTTGATGACAAAACTGAAGGCACTTTAGTGTTCCTTAGTTTGAGCACAAATACATATTGACCTACTATTTGGTGTGTGGAATTTTTTGAATTTCTTTTTGATTTCTTCCAAAATTTGTATTTATGAAAATGAAAGCCTTAAGGACTCTTAACATAATTTTTCACATTTCTGTTTTGGCATGTATTTGCTAACTCTTTTGGGGAATCCTTTGCAAAAATATTTCCATCAGCAGTCTAGATATATGTTCTTTGCAATAAAAAGGAAAAAATAATTAAATTGCCTTTAAGGTCAGAAAGTAAATGTGAGAAATAGAATTCTGTGGTAGGTTCCACATCCTTACGCTCCCACGTGGTGGTGGTGGTGGTGTGTTTGGTGTATTTATGAGATTTGTTGCTATATCAGTGAGAGGCTGAGACCTGAGAATTTGATATCTGTTTACAGACAACTCAGACCAGGAGGAGGTGGACACGTCCTCGGGACTACCCCCGGGGGTCACGGACGAGGATGTCCAGTTGTTCAAGCAGGCCCAGGAAAAGGCCCAGGAAGCCCTGCTGGAGGTGAGCAGATGTTAATTTTATTTCTGTCAAGGAAAAGGCTTATAAATTTAAGTGAACAAGAACATTTCTTGCAATTTTTTACTGGAATAGATTTAACTGAACACTTTGTTTTGTTTTGCTTATTCTACATTTAAAGAGTGGCCTTGCTTGTTAACCATTTCATATTTATAATATGAGCTACTCAAAGATACCATTGATGAAATGCTTATCTGAATAAACCGTCCCCTTTCTTATTTTCTACTTAATACCCCAAATTAAAACTGTTTTCATGGATTTTCTTTAATTTCTTTTTGGCTACAGTTACCAGCTAAATTGCCAATAGAAAAATGGCCAATATTGTCCCCAAAAGGTTTACACTTACCTGTACAGCTTAAAAGTTAAGCATCAAAGTTGCTAAAATGTAATCCAAAATTAACTGAAAGTGCTTTAAAACAAAACAACTTAGTTTTGGCCATCAAATTGAACATCATTTTGAACATCATAGAGAATCCCAAAATGAATTTTAAAAAAAAGGAGCAAAGTAGGGTAGTTATTCAAGGATTATACCATGTCATTCAACCTTGTAAAACACCTAGTCTTACATTTCTGTCTCTCTGACCAATGTTATTTTTAGAAGGCTGTTTTTGACATTTTGATATTCAGTAAAACATTACACAATGAGAAGCATAGTAAAGTCTTACTGTGAAAATGTTTAATCAGAACAGCATTCATGTGCATATGATTTAAAACTTTTACTTTAGAAATATTTTTAAGCTGAATGTAATAATATCTTCAGACTAAAATGGTGTGAAAATTCCTAATTTCAATGTACCTGGTACTCTGGACCCCAAAACAAAATAAAGATCTCTTTTAGTTTTCTCAATCTTATACTTAATTTGTATTGTCTCCTCCATGAGTATTATTCCTAGCTAGACTGACAATACTACCAGAATTACTGTAAACCTTGTGGATCAGATCATCATAATTAATTTTTTTTAATCTTTTTCCTCTGTCTGGCCTCCTTCATTTAGTTGAAGTTTTTACCAGTTGTGTGTGCACATGTTAAAAGAAAGTGTTTGTTTTTTGTTGTTTTTTTCATAAAACTGGATAAAATCAAGATAGTTTGAGTGAAGTTTTTCTTACACTCCGGAGATTAAAAAATCTCAAGTGTTTAATTACATTTGAATGAAATTATTTGGCTTATATAAATGTATTGCATGCTTATTATTCATTTATATCACAAAGTCACCATAGATATGCTTAATAAAATGAGATATGCTCAATATTATGCATGCTTGTAGCAGTTTCAGTTAGGGATGTGCAATTTTATCGGTATACCGGTATATCGCGATTTTTCGTTGCGTGATACGTATCGTGATACGGAGACCTAAATACCGGTCTTTAGGTACTTATTATAAAGTCCAGAAATTATTCATTTATTCTTTTAATCTTTCAAATTTCAATTACAGAAAGTATAAAAAATGTTGTAAAAGTGAAGAGAACAGCATCTTAACGTCCAAACATAATTGATTTTATATACATAAAAATTTCAAGATAGAAGAATTTTGTTTTTCTCGCATATTTTTTAGAAAAATAATGACTTTTCATATAAAATCATGGTGAAAACTGCTTTTAAAAATATCATGATATTATCGTGATATTGTGGGGAAAAAATCGTGATATATCGCAATACAAAATTTTTGGCGATACCCATCCCTAGTTTCAGTAGTACATGTATTATTGTGATGGATTATGGAATTCACCTGGCTCATTATTTGCATCAATCATAAATAGTATTTCCTACACTCAGGGACGCAGATAACTGTGTATCTCACCATCTCAATAATGGGGAGTAAATAATATGGAGGACTAAAATATTTGTTTTGGAGTCCAGATAGTTACTAAATTTTAAAGTGTTATATAACTTATTTCATTCTTGAAAAATTTTGAGGTACCTATATGAACTTCAAACCTTTATGCCTGCATGTTTATCATGAAATATGTTAGTGTGGAACAATAGTTTATGTCCTCAGGGGCTGGTAATAATACACTACATTTGATTTAACGTAAAAACCTTCCTTTTCTTGGCCTCTAGTATTTCATGGAAATCTGCATCCCTGCTGCAATTTCATTTCTGTTTTGTTAGAGTTTTCCTTTCATTTATCATTTGTTCATTTGCTTTGCTTGATTTAGTAGTCAGACTTATTATTAATCCCAATTCTTTTGGGTTACAGTTGGAATTTGCTTTACAGGATGCTGCCAGACAGAATGGGGATTCTGCACCCTCACCTGCCCCAGCCCCCCTCCCGGCTGTCCCGGGGGGTCCAGGCAGGTTCCCACCATGTATTGAGTTTGGAAAATATGAAATTCAGACATGGTATTCCTCCCCATATCCCCAGGAGTACGCCAAGTAAGTGATGTGTTTGTTCTTTGTACTTAACATTTTGCACAGTTTCAGAGAGCACTGGTTAAACTCACGTTGTCTAATGACTGGATTGGGGTCCTCCAGGAAGAAAAGTAATAAAAAAGAATATTATACGAGGTTTGGTAAAACAAGATTGTTACTGGTGTTTGTTTAAACTAAATGCTTGTATGAACTTGAACATTAAGCTAAAGAAATGATTGAGAAATGCAAATTGATATATCAATAACTGATTGCTAAACTTTCTTTCCATTTCAGAGCTGGGTAACTGGTTTTCAGATATCCTGCTTATTTGGTTATTGTAGTGGTTGTTGTTGTTAAGTTTTACCCTCGCTCTTTTCTTGCCTTTCCTAGAATGTAATTTTCTGTTATGAAAGCTAATATCCTTATTCTAATAAATTCACTTTGATTTTCACATTTTATTCATCTCATTTCTGAAAAGCCAAAGAAGGCAAAAATATAATTTTTTTTTTTTCATTCCATTTGTTATTATTTCTATATCGATTTTGACATTGTTTTATAAAAATGCTGATGTTTATGATTTTAATTTTGTATCACAGCATGACTTTGTAAACTGTCAAATAAGAGAAAGGCTAAGCAGTTAAAGAGGAAACTATTTTTAGAAGATAGTTTTCATTGCCAGTATCTGAAGCTGCCTTTTAGTGCATATTATTGTGGCATAATTTGTAGAACCTCTGATATGAATTATCGATACCTTCTTCATGAGTGCAGGATATAATTGCTGAACAGCTATTTCGCATGTTGTTTTTATGAAGTTTTATTTGATAAAAGGCAACAAACAAAAATCTGAGTAGATTTTTAAATTTTTATTCTGTTTTGGCTGTTGTAGTAGTATGAAGAGAGTTTGTGATTGAAGCTCTTATTTTGGCAAACTTGTGTATGAGAAAAATGTTTACTGCATGCAAAATCTAGCAGAATTGTGATTGTGTGCAGAAAATATAGATCTAAATGATGTAAAATTTTTAATACTTTCGCCATTGAAGACTTGTAAAAATATTTGAATAGATTTTGTGGAAGCTTTGATAATTTTTTGTTTGTTATTTTTAATTTCTCTTGAACATGTATGTCTGTCTCCTGGTCCCCTGTTAAGATATAGAGTTAATCTGTTTACAGGCTTCCTAAGCTGTACATCTGTGAATATTGTCTGAAGTATATGAAAAGTCGCAACATTCTGCAACGACATATGGTAAGCTAGAATTTTTAGACATTCATCAACTATAGACTTAATTTGTACATAAATTCATCTACAGTGGAGCCTCATTTATCCAGACGCTTTGGTTTCTACAAAATTTGTCCGGATGTGTGAAGCGTCCGGATACCTGAATTACCAGTCTAACAAAACAAATTAACTTAAAAAAATTCCGTTCCAATGAAAAATCGTCGGGATACTGAAGCATCCGGATATCTGGCGTCCGGATATCTGAAGGTCCACTGTACATACATATGTAAATATAGGTAACTAAAAAATTTAAAATAAATCCCTTGTTCTACAGGAGAAGTGTGACCTCTTACGTCCCCCTGCCAATGAGATTTACAGGAAGGGGGAGCTATCTGTGTTTGAGGTGGATGGAAATGCCAGCAAGATTTACTGCCAGAACCTTTGCCTTCTAGCCAAACTGTTCCTCGATCATAAGACACTTTATTATGATGTGGAGCCCTTCCTCTTCTATGTTCTAACCGTGAATGACGAGTATGGCAGTCATCTGATTGGCTACTTCTCTAAGGTAAACAGCAGATTTTATACTAGTACAGTTCCTAGAGCACTTGTTCAACAAGTACATGATCTTTTTTTTAAAAAAGAAAATTAATGTTGTAAGCCAGCCATTGATTGTGAAGAATTCCTCAAACAAACTATCAGCTCTGATATCTCCTGTTATTTAAAGTAAAGAAAATGACTACCAAGTTGATTGAATATTTAAAACCTTTAAAGACTATTTTAAGTTAAACTTACACAGAAAAAGGTTACAATTTGATTTATTTAAACATTAATATTTACAGGAAAAACACTGCCAGCAAAAATACAATGTATCATGTATTATGACTATGCCTCAGTACCAAAGGAAGGGATATGGAAGATTTCTCATTGACTTCAGTAAGTTTCATGTATATATGGTTGAATCTGAACTGATATCCACAAGAAATTTTGTCCTAGTCTACCAAAGGTTATTTTTGTCTGAAACTTTGTCAGTCATCAGTTTACTTTGTCGTGATTACCATTCATAAGTCTTGACTGCTATTTAAAACTGAAATCATAGTAAGTGTGTGGAATTTTCACTCATGGGAAATTAGTGTTTAAACAGTATAAAATTGATCTTGTTAGAGTGTGCATTAAGACAGTTTTCCATTACATCTTTCCAGACATGTATTTGAGCTTGAAGTTCTGTTTTCTTTCTTGTAGGTTACATGCTGTCTCGAGTGGAGGGACACCCTGGGTCTCCTGAGAAACCCCTCTCAGAGCTCGGCAAAGTCAGCTACCTGGCTTACTGGAAAAGTGTCATCATAGAATACCTCCACAAGTACCAAGACTCCAGGATCACCATAAAAGGCAAGGCATTCATACATTGGTCAGAAAAGAAGATCTTGTACTCTTAAGATTTATCATCCCTTTGTTCATGCATTCTGATTTTTATGCTATTGAATATTGATGTTCTGAAAGAAAAAGACACCAAATTTTGACATACCCAGCAGTACAGACTTTGACAGAAATGGCTTTGTAAGATTGACAATATTTTAAAGAAGTAATAATCATTCTGTTAAATCTGTTGTAATTTCAGGGATGAGTCGTGCCACTGGTATGTGTCCACATGATATTGCTCACTCCCTTGAGATGTTAAATATGATAGCTCAGAAGGAAGACAAGTAAGTGTGTCTGATTGTATGAAGAAAAAAACAAATAACTCTTAAATGACCCAAAATTGTTTTGTGATATAATTTTGAACTATTGTTTGAGAGATCAGAGAGTGTGATTTTGACATTAAAAAAATCCTGTATTTATCATTTAGGATTGTGATTGCTGTGAATAAAGAGCTAGTTAAGGAACACATGGAGAAATTGGAGGCCAAGAAGCACCTCAGGATAGAGCTTGACCAGGACTGTCTGCGCTGGACACCACTGATATCTAACTACGTCATCAGTGAGGAAGAGCGCAAGGCTGAATCAGAGGTATGAAGTTAAAATTCAGAATCGAGGTCTGTCAGGATCTCTGATGATATATAGGTTGATTTGTAGTTTTAACAATATTTTCAATGTTTTTGCTAGCTGAGAGAAATGACCCAGATGGTGAACAGTATAGCTGAGGACATGGAATGGATTGAAACAGTCAGTCCCACAGTCAGTCCAGAGAAAAGTCGCCTCTTTCTGGATGTGCGAAGTCCTAAAATCATGGATGCTTTAGCAAGTCCTACAAAACTGGCAGCTGAAGCCAAAAATTCCACCAGTCCATTTAAAGCAGAGGAGACCCTGATAAAAACTCCACTGAAGGAGGACAGTGAGGACTCGTCAGACTCTGAGGAGGAAGACAAGCCTGTCAAGTCAAGGAAAGAATCTCCTAAAAATGAGGATACACCAAGTCCTTCAAAGAGAAAGGTACAAATTGTTTAACTCTCATAAATCGGTAAATAATTAAATCACAAATACATATATTTCAGCAAACACGGACTTTTGTTTTTGTGTGCTAACTTCTTAATGCATGTTCATTTTAAAATTAGTCTTTGATGTGAACAATCATTCTTGTGAATTTCTGCACCAAGAAAATATTGCAAAAGAAAATACTGTAATAATTTTTATATCTTTAATTTTGAGAGGAAATTTAAATATAAATTCTTGTATTTGTGACTCTAAAACTGTTTTTGGCTCCTTTGTAGGTTGGACGACCTCCAGGTTCTAGGAAAAGAAAATTGCCAGAATCTGTTTTGGATTCTCAAGAATCCAAGAAGAAAAAGGAGGAGAAGGAATCCAAAGGTGATTGTTCAATATAAGTTTGAGACCAGAATACAAGATATAACAAACGTACCACAATCATATTGAAAATTGTATTGATTATTGCAGATAAGGATGAAATGTGCTTATGAATATATAAAATAAATTCTAAATTGATATTTAACACAAATAACAATTGTTTCAGACAATGACTCTGTGGATCATAGTGGAAAAGAGAATGATGAACAGCCAGTAAGACAGAGCAGCAATTCAAAGAAAACTGAGGATGTGCCTAAACCCAAGGGCCGTAGGGGCTGGCCTAAAGGAGTACCAAGGACCCCCGTAGGAAATGTCCCTCCCAAGAAAAAGGGAAGGCCACCTAAGGTATAGCTTTTTAGTTTTGAAAATTCATATCTTCTCAAAAATCAATTCAATTTAAATTTGAAATATTTTTGTGAATCATAATTCTAAAAATCTGTTTGATTTTTGTTTACAGAATTCAAACAGAACACTGGCAGAGTCAAATATAGGAACCACTTCAGAGAAAAATCACACAAAAACAAATGAAAAACCTGAAAACTGTGACAAAGGCAGCTGTGATATTAAAGACCAGTCTTCCAGTAGAGAGAGTGCTTTGTTCTCAAAAATCAGTGATGAACACGACGGCAGTGTTAAGTCGCCTGGTGGTAATATCGATCTAGACGATCTGTCCAAAGAGCTGGCTTCTGGTCCTAGAGATTCGGATAGTTCAGACAGTGACAGTGATAGTGACAATGAGAATGTGAGCCGTGAGATTGAGGAAGCCGTGCAAGCTCTGAAGGACGCTGAACAGTCGGACATCGAGGACATGCAGAATGATCTGCATGACATCGTTAAAAAGGATGACGATGAGACGGAGCAGCAGAGAGAACGTCAGACTCCCGACGACCTGCCTATTCCTGATCCCAGTCCTGCTCCTATAGCAATAGGAGGAGACTGTATATCAGATACAAACAGTGATATTCCAGCTCCTTTGACACCTCAGGTTCCTACCCCAAGCCAAGATCCCTCTACACCTGATAATAGTTTGGTGAAGTCCCATTCACAAGAAGAGACCCCTTGCATTGGACCAAATAAAGAAACTTTGCAGGAATGCAAATTGGATAATAAGTTGGATGGTTTGAAATCCTCTGGATCACCACTGGAGGACCCAGCACATGAAACAGATGATGATGATATTCCCAGTGATGATAATTTCCCAGAGGATGACATCAACTCTCCATTGTGTAATGCAAGGACTTTTGAAAATTCTTTGAACAGTGACATACAAAGCAATTTTGAACAAATCACAAACACAAGTGCAAATAATTCAATCCAATCCAATGAACAAATGACTCCTCAAAGTAACTTAAACAATTGTGTAGAAACTCCCCCCTCGGTCCCATCAGTGAAGTTGTCTCCTCACCCCACCACTTCACAGCATCAACCAAACTTAGTTCAGCAACCACACTTACAAAACCAAACTTGTTCAAACATGCAGTCTGTCTTCACACCACAACCAAATGGCATGAACAATATTCAGCCAGGTTCAAACCTTGGCAGCAGTTATGGAGGTGTTGACATTGATGTTGTTACTCAGATGGACTTAGAATCTCCAACGTCAATCAGCAGTAGTGAACTGCAGAATCCCATCAGTTCTGGCACTGATACAGTGGGTGTGTCCATTGTTCAACAGACTCAGACCCTGAACACCATACAGAATACAGCACCTGCCCTGATAGGCAGCTACTCCGACTGTGCACAGCAAATGCCTCAGCCCTACCAGCAAGTTAATGTGATGCAAGGAGCTCGCTATATGGACATGGTCAGCAGTAATTCTGGTGGTTACAGTATGCCAATGGTAGCCCCTTCAACAAATCCGATGCCTTACTGCTCCACACCTGGCAGTTCATATACTTCTGTGTTATTACCGCAGAACTCCAACCAGAGACTGACCCATAGTGCCACGCCTTGTCCACTACCTCAGGTACCCATCAATAGACAGAACAGTGCCCCGGCAGGCTATTCAGCAAATGGCTGTAATCTGTCCAAGCTTCAGCAACTGACCAACAGTTTAGAAATGAATGGCATGCCCGAGAACCAGATGACGCCTCCCCCCACAATGACGCCACCTCCGCCTCACATGACACCATCACCCTCCATGATCCGTAACCTTGCCACACCTCCCGTCCCTAACCTCCCCTCACAAACAGTTTCTGGTGTATCCCTGCAGCAGGCCTACAAACAATACCAGAGGCCGCGGAACACTCGCAAGAGCCCATCTGGAAACCCCAACATGACCTCATTTACACCAAATGTGACAATTCGTACAGGATCCAACATGCTCGTCAGCAATTACGGTAACATTCAGGACATTTATCGAATGCAGCAACAAACACTGAACCCGAGTTACATGAATCACCATGGCTTCATCAACTCTCGTCTACAGACCCCCCAGCTTTCTATGCAGATGTTCCCCAATATGAACATGAATGTGAACCCCCAGCAACATTTTCAGCAACATATGCAACCCCCACAGTCCAACAACATGTACACTTATGGCTATATCAACAGTCAGCTGGGGCCCTCCCTTAACAATGGTGTCATGAGGAGGTAGCTACTAGAGGAACTTTGTGATATTAGGTGTAGAATAATATTCCTTATTTATTTTGTTTGCCTTTATGTGAACAATTTTGTGAAAATGGTACTGTGTACACTAGTTTTATTCCAAGTGACCTAATTAAAAACCGCAGCATCATTTAAGTTAAAATGTAAAACTGTTTAAATGAGATTTCCTGATTTTTTAGGTGCAATACAAAAAAATGTATGGAACACTAGGGGGGGAAAAATCAAACCATGTTTACATGCTGGGATTTTCAATACGCAGTTATAAATATTATAGGTTCAAAAATCAGTTTATTTTTAATATTTATTTTTTTTTTGTAGTGTGCTCTACCTCACTAAAATTATTTATGTAAAAAATACTTGGTAGGCCTGATTGTCTTTGAATTGGTATACTTGGTATGTCTTATAAATTCTAATAAAAAGTGCTAAGAGATGTTTTTCTAAACAGGAAAGCAAAGATAATTTTTACACATTGCATTACTACAGAGTGAAAGTAAAAATTGTAGACCTTTTGTTATTGGAATTTCGTTGAATTGTGTTTTCAGTTTTGGTTAAGCGAGGAAAGCAAAGATTGTTCATCCTCTTCTAATTTGTTAATTATTTTTTTTTATGATAAGTACCAAAGAAATTGTTACAGTAAAAAAGTACTGGGTGCAGGTGCTTTTCCAACAGCATTGGGAATAATTTAGTGTCAACATGTCACACTGTTGTGTATTCTGGTTTTATACTTAGTATTTATTTCTTCTTATACAAGGAAGGTCAAAGTACCTTAATTATTATTACTGGCTATTTTATTATTTTTTTTCCCATGGGCAAAGCAAACCAAACAAAATAAGTTACCAGACTCCTTTCTAATTCTGTAAATATTTTGGCAAATGCCACTTAAAGGTAGAAAGGTTGTTGAGGTATTTTTGTTGTTCATCTTTTTCATTTAATAATCATGATTAACATTTTGAAATTATCACTGGTGACTTCTATTTTTTGTGCAGTTTGTACATAATTTTTCATTCATTTTGGAATGTGCATTTAATTGAAATGAATAATAATAAATTATGATTTTCCTTACATTTATTCTTTTTTATTTTATACAATTAGATACCAACTATCTTTCCATTTTCAATATGTAAGTCCTTGGAAAATAAAACCACAATATAGAAGATGACTGACATGGATCCCTTAGTAGTTTATTACTTGGGTTAAAGAATATAATAAATCAGCTAACAAGAGATTTTGAAAACTTGATGCATGTCTGGGACAAAGGGAAACATGGTCACATTATTAACTGAAGTTCATTACTCCATCCCAATCGTCCATTATAGCTTGCCTGAGCTGAAACCTGTGAGCTTTTCTGATTGCCTTTGACCAACATCTGTTTGGTATCATTTGTAAAATTTTCAAGAACACCTGGACAAAAGTTGGCATAAAGCAACCTTGTGTAAGGAAATTCATAATGGACAAGCCCGATTACAAGGGAAGATATCCAGTAATCAAAAACTTGTGGTACTGACAGCACTGAGTGTGCTAAATGATTCCCCCTCTCTATATATACTAGTATGTCAAAATCATCCTACCCCCTCCACCCACCCACACACAATGTGATTACATGACATAGTATGAAATTCGTTATTTGCCATGACCCTCCCCCTCCCACAATAAATGTCACTCAGCTAGTTCATTAAACGTTACTCCTAAGAGTAATTAAACAGTAGATGCACATTGACACTATGTTCTGTGAAAGTCTTGTTAAATGTTATCGGGTGGTATAGTAGGTGTTGCCGATGCTAAGTAACAGATGAGTACGCCTAATATATAAAGAATCTTAGTGTCCATTTTTAGCTCTACTGGTCAGGCACCAGAAGAACTTGTGCGATCAAGATCTGTCTAGCTGTCTGTCTGTAAACAATTTTTCAAAATACTACTCCTCATACAGTTTTGGTCTGATTTCAATATAACTTGGCACACAAGTAGATTACACTAAGATCATAATTCAGTGCATCAGTTTTTGATTTCGATGAACGGTGTTGCCATGGTTACTGAAAATAGAAATTTCTTTGAAATTCCTTTAAAATGCTACTCCTCCTACAGTTTTGGTCTGATTTTAAAATAACTTGGTACACAGGTAGACTACACTAAGATATATAATTTAGTGCATAGAATTTTGATTTCGATGAACGGTATTGCCATGGTTACTAAAATAGAAATTTCTGTGAAATTGTTTTAAAATGCTTCTCCTCCTACAGTTTTTGTCTGATTTCAATACAATTTGGGACACAAGTAGACTTTACAAAGATACACAATAAAGTGCATCGATCTTTAATTTCGATCAACGGTGTTGCTATGGTTACAAAAATAGAAATTTATGTGAAATTCCTTTAAAACGCTACTCCTTCAGTTTTTGGTCTTATTTTAATATAACTTGGCACACAAGTAGACTACATGTACACGAGGATAAATAATTAACTGCATCGGTTTTTGATTTCTATGAAAGGCGTTGCCAAGGTTACTAAAAAAAATTCTGTGAATTCATCGTCTCATCAGAGACTTCTGGTTTGCTACTGTAAACCCAAAGTACCTGTTTGATCAGAATATAAAGTAAGAGTTTTACAATGACACTAGAAAATGAAGCTCCGAGAAAGCCTTTTATACCTGCCGGGAGGGTAAATAGTGATCGGGATGTCCGCCCATCCGTCTGTTACGCTTTGGGGTAGAAATTTCGTATCCGCAACTCTTTTACCACTGAATGAAAATTTAATGAGACTTTCACGGAAACTTTTTAACATATTGCCATATTGCACCTCCTATTTTACTTTTTGATCAGCCACATATTTGGGGTTTCCCATAGCAAAACATGGACACTACATGTACCATTATATAGGAGGCGGGAGTATCATTTTATTTTAGTTAGCTCATTGCTCACGGTACCTCTAGTTAAAACTTAAATAGGAGAAACGAAATGTCACTGCTGAATGCGAAATCCATTTTACATCAACATATTTGTCAGAATCCTGTATTACGGCTTGGTCGTGCACAGAAGATGCTCTTGTTTACTGAATCAGTTTTGAAGACATAAACATCCAGTAGAACTTCAGTTTTTCCATTGACGAAACCATTTTAGTTTCTTGCAATGCATACATTATAAAATGTTTTTTTTTTTTTACATCTTCGAAATATTTCTTCAAAATCTGATGTACGATATCAATCCTTATGTGTAAATTTACAACTGAGGAAGGCTTACTGATAAGTTGGTTTAATAAAAATAATGTGAAATACAGGTAGACGCTATCGAATCACTGATAATGTGTCTGATAACATAGACAGGAAGTTGTGGTTTTTTTTTGTTCTGAAGGACAATCGAATGGAAAGTATGGGGACTTGATCAAAAAATCAACGACGTAATGCTAATTCAAGAGATTGGACTATGGATATTCTGTTGTGTGTCATAGGACTTCTGCTCTGTATAATGGATATCAGTAAGTAAAATTATTAAGACAGGAGTAGTCCTGAATTAAAACAAACAATTCATGTATGTAGCACCCCCCCATTCTTAACGATATTATATTTATACAAGATCTTTCTTTAGATGGTACAGTATGTGTAGAAACATTGCATTTGTCAAGTCTTGTGATCGATGGTACGGAGCTTTCGGATTACGAAAAGATGGCGGCGTTTCCGTGTGATGGACATTTGATTGGATGGCGGACTATAGGCGCCAAACCTGAATTTAACATACACCTGGGAGTATGGATCCCAAATTATGGTTCTGAAAAACTTCTCACCCTTTTAGACCGTGCAAACCAGGGAAGCGAAGACAACATGGAACCTGTCATTATCGAAAAAGGAGATTTCATGGGTCTCGTTTTGTTAAAGAATGACTCGCTCACTGTGCCTGATTTGAACATACTACCCAAAAAAGACAATAGTATTGCTAATTTAAATTCCAAATACTCACATCTTGTAGCTGTTGTCCCTCAGAATACTACAAGAGGAAGTGTCATTTCATTTAAGGACATATCCTTCTTACTGATGCCCTTGAATTTCACAATTCGTGTAACGATGGATTACAATGGTAAGAATGCTTCTGAGAAATTACCAGAGTAACTTCTTGGCTTTATTGCTATTTGATGTTGCCAAGAAATACATTTTATATAAACTTGGATGACTCCTAATATCTTATTTTTCGGCTTTAGGTACATATAAAGCCAAATGGGAAGCTTCTCGAAAAAAGAGCCACAACAAACGAAATAAATGGAGAAGTTGTACTAGTCACAATCTCCCAAATTGTGAAACGTGTAGAAAAGTCAAGGGCAAAGTCATCTGTACATTTTGCAAAGATGGATTCTTCGGACAAACGTGCAAGAGACCTTGTCCCGAGGTTTGTTCTGCCTGCATTCAGAACAGCGGCAGTTGTGATCGGTGTGCCACGGGTTACTTCGGGGAGAACTGTAAGGAGGTGTGCCCCGTCAGATGTAGTCCCTCCCTGGGCTGTAACGCGGACAGCGGCTGTGGGGAATGCCAGCTAGGGTTTCAGGGAAAGTGGTGCGAGGAGTTCGTCTCTAGATGTGAAGAAGGGTATTTTCCTGGAGCTAACTGTAAAAACGAGTGTCCGGAAAATTGTGTATCGTGCAATATATCAGATAGTGAGTGCATTGTCTGCAAAAAGGAATCAGAATGGACACAATGTATGAAAGCTGGTAAGGTTATTTCTGTTGAAAGAGAACAGAATTTTTTTTTTTTAAAATAATGCTAATTTTAAAAAAATCTTACTAAAATGGGGGAGGAGAGGGATTTTTCTCAGAGGAATAAAAATGAATGTGACCCTTTAAAAATTACATTGTACATTAAAGTGAATAATTTAATGCATGTATGTGCATTCTTGATAGTGTCACGATGCCTCCCCCTACTGTCCTACTGGTTAGTTAAAGAGGAAACTGAAATACCCGGTAGCAAAATGGGGCGAAAATAGGGAGATTTGACTCGAAATCCAGTTAGATAACAAGTCCTTTTATATTTCCATCATGTAAAAGGTCTCATCCTTAATTTTTCTTTGCTAGTTGTAGCAAACAAGGACGCATCAGAGGAGGGATCTAGTTCCCTGGGGGCCATTCTGGGCTCTGTCTTTGCCCTCCTCACCCTGGGAATGGTCGTGTCGGGAGTCGCTTTCTATCTAATAAGGTACACAACTCTCCTGGCAAAATCTCCAGTTATTCTCTAGTTGTTGTTCCCCACTTTCGCTAAAAGAAGGGGATACATGTATAAATATTTGTTGACAGCAAAATAAAAGTATATTTGATATTTTCGTGTTTTACAGGCGTCGACGCAGAAATATTTCGAAAAAAGCCAATGCTAACACAGAAACGGTAAATGGACTTCCCTCGCGGGAAACGTTAGAAGAGAAAGCACGCCAAAGCAACCCTTACATTATAAATTTTTCAACATCAAGTAAAAACCAAAATAGACAACTTCCTTTACCCCCAGGCGAAGACGAAGACGGCTATATGGAACCTCATGCTGTATCAAAACCGGATGTGACATCACCTCTTCTTCAGCAAGAACAACGCTCGGATGCTAAGTTAATATTTGATAACATTAGTATTTTAGAATTTAGCTGTTGTCCAACCCTTTCCAATTCTCAATATTAAGGTTTCGTTAAAAGTAAAATAATTTCGAACACGTTAATGGCTTTCAGAAGTTTTTAATATCTTTTCAGTTAGCCTTCCCGCCTGTTTTAGCTGTAGACTTTTTAACATTTGAAAAAATAAGCACAACTGGAAATCAGTTGCAACATTTAACTAAATATTGTCAAATTCAAAAATACTGAACCAGATGAAAAGAACAGGAATATGCAGTGAAACAGTTTGATACATAGATTATTAGTATTTATTATAAAGTGCAACAACCTTGAGTCGTCCTTAAGGTAAGTTACTCCTCAGCTTTTTAGAAAAGTTCACGCAGAAGCTTTTGCTTCAAAACTACTAATCATAATTCAATTTTTATGACATATTTATATTCAACAATGTAAATTTTTTAACATTCAATGAAAAATCTGCTCAAAAATCAACAAAGAAGCAAGATTTATGAGGGACTATTTCTTTTGAAGGATATTTAGCAGAAAATTCTGCAAATCTGCACATTTATAAAATTTAATGTAATGGAAATTTAGCCTCACATACTTTTACTTGGAGAATATTTTCCGTTTTGATATTGCTAAAAATATTTAATATAGGTCTTAATTTATATTTTAAGACTAAGTTTTACACCTTCCCTCAACAAACTTTCCCAAAAAATGAAAATTTTTGAAAGAAGTCAAGGTCAAATTTACACCATTTTTAGCCTGAAAATCACATATTTTGACAAATATTTCAAAATTAACATCACTGACCATACCTTTTTCTTTCATTATTTTAAACTACTCGATACTTGTGACTGATCAGCACTCAAGTCGTAAAAAGTTTGATATAAGAAAAATTTTTATTGCCTATTAAGTTTTTGAATACCCCAAATATGTTATTTTTTAGTGCAAAAAGGTCAAACAATAATTTACGCGCATTAATTTGCAAGATTTATTTAATGTTAAATATTATTCAAACTATTTTACGGAAAATATGATTATATTTATTGCCTTGCTTACATCTTATCAAATATAATAAGGGTTAAAGTAATTAACCAAAGAGATGAAGTTTAAGTGCAAAAAGGTCAACTTACTCAGTAAATGTACCGTAGATCAGTAGGATGCACACTGACCCCCTATTTTCTTTGCAATTTTGAGTTACACTTTATGAGTACTTATCAAAAATATACTTCTCAAAAAATCCTTGATATAACAAACTTGAGGAGTGACTTACCTTAACACTAAGTGGCTTTCATGTATTTGTAAAAACCTCTCTAAAATTCCAATCGTCTCTGATTACTTGAATTATACTCATTTCTTGCCCTTTTGCTAATTTCAGACCAGTCGCCAAGTTACTTGTCAGTCCACCAGAGCCCAGTGTGCCGGAGTCCCACGGAGAAGATGTTTATG